GTGAGGCTGCTAAACATATGGAGCTGCTATAGGTGTGGAATTCCTTAACGCGTGGAGCTGCTAAACAACATGTTTAGCTTTTCAAGCTCGTCACAGAAAAAGATGCTTCACAATCCCATATATACGATCCCATAACAAGTTTATTACAAGACTCAACAATTTTGCTTAACACTTCCCCTTGTAAACATATGGGGCTGTTGGAGGCGAGAAGCAGCCTGCTCGAACGCGTTGTGTCCTTCCTTGCAGTAACGTGTGATTATTTAAAATAGGCCTATTAAGTAATAATCCAAATAACAAATAACGTTTTCACGACGTTATCAGCTGGTTACATGATGGTGATGGTATAGAATAACGTCATGGTAACGTTATGGGTGTTTTTAACTCCATGCAAAATGATGCCTTTGCAGTTTTATAAGCGTTTAATAACATTCTGGAAAAACATAATTTAATGTTTTGAAAACTTTTTTTTATTAATCACCAAAACACGTCTTATGCTGTATGAACTACAGTTAGTGGTTAATTCCAAAATGGGCTTGGGTTAGTCGGCGACTAGAGCGGTGCGATTTGAAAAATATTCGGACTATCGTTACCAAAGTAACCAGCATGTGATGAAGTCTTAAATAAACCATTATAATGAATACCCCACCATCATCCTGATGTTCTATTGTTCATTACTTTCGGAAAAAATAAATGAACATCAATACCTTAACGCATTTTATCAAAATATGAACAAAAATGTTTTAAAGTAAAAGTGATAGTTGTTTCGTGTCTTTAAAAAACTAGTGAATTTTCCTAACTTGTTTTTCAGAAATATATTCCAATTAACTTCCTCGCAAGGTCAGCTAACACAAGGATGAATAAGTCCCGCTGTAAAGATGATGTGAATCAACTATGTTGACAGTTCACGGTACCCTGTTGTAGATAGAGATAGCTATAGCAGTCAAAGGTGACCGTGACCGCGCGCGCGCGCGCGTGTGTGAGAGTGACTGAAACAGTTGAAAACGTTAAACCTTAAAGTTAAACAAATACACCCTACATTTATTAGGCGTCAAGCACGTCAAAGCGTGTAACATGTTAATAGGCTAAACGTGCTTAGGTGCTAAACGCGTGGAAAAAATGAGACAAAACAGGCGCTTAGAAATGTGTCTCAGAGCTAAGCACTGTTTTTACAGTGTATGGGACCGTTCGCATTGAATTTTAGCTGATGCGCCCTAACTCCACGGGGACTCTCGCTGAACACAGTCAGATTAACAGATTAACATGCTCCCCGTTGAGTAGAATACAGCAACGCTGGTGATTATTTTGAGGACAATAGAAACAAAGTTAGGCGTGTCAGTCTGATTGCATTCAGCAAGTCCCCTTGCAGCCGCACAGAAGCGAGGCCGATAAAATTCGTTGTTAAACTCAACACGCCGCTTACGCTGCTTCTTAATACGTTGACAAAGGAGGAGGGATATCAGGTGGCTGTCTGGCTTTTCGATAAAAATGTGATACTCGTAAATTAGGAAATAAAACGGGGGATTTACTAGTTACTAACGGAACAAATACGAGACACCACAAAAAGCAATAAATATAGAGTAATAGACTCTGATTAAATAACTGATGCCACACTGCCTTTATAAAGAGACGGCTGCACACCTTTTTCAAAGTTTTCGTCAAAATCTGAGATCCAGCTACTTTGAAAGAACAAGCCTTTTGGTATTTTTTTAGTACCGGCTAGTAAGAAAACCACGGCGTAGAGAACATTCTTTTACGAAACCAAACACGATTCTCAAGAAGTTACACAAAGACAATTAGAGGAATTCAGAACTAGTCTTGCATTGGGTTGCTACTGCTAGAAGGTGAGTCACAAATATTTAAAATAAGATATGTGAGTGCACCAGTGACCCATGTGAGAAACAGGAGATGAGGTTGTTGAAGGGATGAGTCCTGTATTGCAGTTTGGAATGCATTCTGGAATAAATAAGTATTGCGCGTGAGTTTGCGAGCTTGCATTTTATACAGCTAGGCCTACATTTTTTTTGTTCGTCAATGTTCCCCAATGGTAACAGTTTCTTATTTTAAAAAAGGACGTTGTTTAGGTGAGAATAAAATTAGTAAAATCAATACAATACAGACTACTCTTGCATTATTTTCAGGTAGGTAATCAAAATTATGGTTTACCAAAAACGCGTGAATTTTAACACGGTATATAAATTTACGAAAGTTTTGGCTTTGGGCCAAAGTTAGGAGAACAGTACACGACGACGATGCTGATTTTCACCAAGGCAAGGTTTCATCAGAATTCACCTAGTCCCCTGCTTATTGCCTCTCTTGGACACCATTTATTTTATTTGTGTCTTTTGGTCAAAAGAATTTACTAAATGTAGGCTTAAGTCAAGTTATCTTCTAAGATTAACCGATAAGCTATTATTTCAAGGCCCTATGTAAATAGTATTTTGTGTCTGTTGTCTTACTGTCAGCTGTATTATTCTAAACCACACCTCTAGCCTTTATGAAATTTTGAGAACAGGGAGAAATGAGTTGCACTGCAGCTTCTTAATATTCTGCAAGGTTCTCCAGCGTTTTCGTTTTGTTCTTGGAATAGGCATGTACAGGGGCGGATCCAGGATTATTTGAAGGGTGGTCCAGGGATTCGGGGCCCGCTTAAGGGCCCGAAAATGGTATTTTAGAGAGCGAACGGTGCCATTTGGTACGATTTAGAACTATAATTCAGCTAGTCAAAATTATCATTTCAAGAGGGGACCACTGAGGTGATTTTTTTCATCGATCGATGGGGGGGGGGGGGGGGGGGGGGGGGCTAAGGAACCCCTGACCCCCCTCTAAATCCGCCACGGCACGTAAATATTCCGAGTGACATCTTTCCTTTTTCAGCCGAGTAATTAGCATGATACGTTTTTAAATCAATTCCTTGTAAAAAATAAAATTCTCTTCTGAAATTAGGCCCTATTTGGAGAGTTTTTGTCTCTTTGAGAGGTAAAAAAATTCTAGTTTTTCATACCTCTTGCACAAATGGCAGTTTCCGGATTGTGTAGCGAGGGTTGGGGAATTTCGAATGTGGAAGGAAAAGAAGGGGGATTAATTTTTTAGCTCTTTTGATATTCAGGAAAAACATCAGGCATGGCTGCTGGCAAATCTTTCATTTCCATGACCTTCATGGCCTTCATGCTGATTGGTTGGATCATGTCAGAGGAGGAGACTGAACGGCAAGGGATACGTACTCTGGGACAACTGAAACAGTTGCTGCGAACCATCAGCCTGGTACTGGATGTTGAAAGCAGAGTAAAGTAAGCTCTTAACATAGGCCTATGTATAATTTGAGTTAAACTTCCCAAAATTAATGCTGAGTGTTTTGCTATTTTCATTTCCTTGATATTTCAATACAAAGTGACCCGCTTGCATCGCATCACCATATTGGAGTAATTCTCATCGTAATTCGGATCTTGTGAAGTATTTCTGCATGCGGCTCTGAATTCGACTTTCTCGCTTGGTATCAAAACAAAAACAGGTCGGTTGAAAATTGCTCTAAAATACAAGTTTTCTCCTTCCACACATCCCATTTTGCACAGTTTATTATTCTACAGTAACAGACAGGCCGTAGGGGGCATACAGCTACTTCATAACGTGACAAAATTATATATAAGGTTTTAATTTCCACAGCCATTTTGCCCCTAATGAATATTGCAACAAATTTTTTTTTTTAAATATTTTTTTTTTTTTTTAATATATTTTTGCAGATTTGGAAAACGCATGTGGAATGGACACTTTAAGGCTAACTCTACCATCAAACCATCCGAAGAGATGCGGAGTGATCCGAAGAAGAATGAATAATGCGAAAAACGATCTGATTGCACCACAGATTGCGCAGGTCTCTCTTTGTAACGTCCCGATCTCCATTAATTTTATTTCGTGATTTTGGCTACCTTTCGAGTTCACATCAAAACTCTTTTGTTCAAAGATTGTTACCGGTTGGGTTTTTTACCTCAGTGAGTTTGGTTGCAAAAACAAAAAAAGAAATTCAAATTTGTAACAAAATAAGAGGAATATAACATACGTCTTTCAGGATATGTAATATCATATTGCACATCCAAGCAACTTTGAATATTTATGTAAAAAAGTTTGTATGGTTTTGGGGTAGTAGGTTATACAATGTAGCAGCAAAAAATCTTGCTAAAAAGGGCAGTTTAAACCCTTTTATGCTTTGCATTTAAATGTCATCTTTGATTAAAAAAAAACATAAACCTAAGAAGTATGTTATAAATTTTATTACACGTTTATAACACAACTTACAATATTTACTTAAATGTATTAAATGGCGAAGATAGAAAATATATACACTTTTCCCATCATTTTGTCCTTGTCAATTTTTCATTATTGGATGTGATAGCACCTTTTCAATTCATACACCTACTGCATGCAACCATTAGGTAGTACAAAGAACCAAATCGTCGTTGGCGGCGATTTCTTTCTCTTTCTTTCTTGTTATTTCTCATTAACTGTTCATGACCATTTTTAACGACGTGGTGTACGACACTTATACGTAAATATATTCCAATAAAACGTAAAATTTTCATTTAAAACACCCTCAACGATACAAACGTTGTGGTCTTACATAACATAAATCTTACACAATTTTGATATACTTTAAATTAAATTTGTGCGGTTGTCTTGGACCGTGTCAACTTGTTATTTGCAAGTTATGCAGTGGTGCCACAGTAAGCTCAAGTTTGGTAGTATTTGATTTCAAAGACAGTCAACTGTCCGACAATCGATCCACAAATCTCCTTTAGATCTAGAACTCAATACCGAGTCCTAGTTCAGATGGACTGCCGCTGACATGTTCTCTACCATGAAATAAACGAGAAGGTGGTTCTAATGCGTGTTGTTTGCTGAACAAAACGGAGTAATAAGCGACTTAATAATAACGAGCATACATTTATATTTCTTACATTGCACATGTATCTGTAACTTTAAAGCTGGCCCAAATTAAAACCGTTGGCATTTTACCAGCGTATGTTACGTTTACATAACTAAACGTAAAACAACGTTGTGAAGATAAAATGATGAACAATAATAAGCGAGCACCGTAAGTATGAAATGCTTACTAAATATTTACAATCAGCAAGTTATCACCATGGGCGTCCATTAGCAACGATTACATATAAATAAATATGCGTATATCCACTGTTTTATAGACACAGCTGATTTTACTAAACTTGCCATGGCAATACATATTGAAATATGGAAAAAAATATCTTATAATTATTACATTGTGTCATTTCGTGTACATCTACCAGTACCATATCTTTGCAAACGTTTATGAATTCGACTATTTTAACTATAAGCCAGAGAAATGCCACTAAGCATTACAACAAATGGTGCATTTCAGGAACGATTTGAGTTCTCGAAAAGGAAGACGCATGTAGACATTTCGCAATACCCTGGTTCCTAAACCTTATTTTGATTAAACCGTGGGTCACCTTTTAGGTGTTCTTATTTTATCTATAACATGATAAGCAATGCCTTTGCATTTAATGGTGGCAACCCTGAAGTCCATTGGGAGATGGAATTGGCTATCGTAAAGGAGTCGGTTAACTTAAATTACACAACGCTTCTAGACAATTGAGAGCATGGGGCATTTACATCACAGTTAAACTTCTATTTCTTAATCAATCTCCGATGAATGTTGTCACTTCTGGCACCTACATTCTTGGTACATTCACGTGAGTGGAACCACGCACGGTTCCAGAGTTGTTTTTGTTGCATTCTGGACTAACAATGTTCATACTTTTAGGACATAACAAATCAAGCCTCACCATAAGTATTGGCCATATTAAGAATTTTTTAAAAAATGAGCAGTGATAAAGCTCGCTGGGTGATTAAATTGACACATGTTGGAATGAACTTTCAACACATACTGTACAGGCGATTCCAGTATTTCTAAAGAACAGAAAGGTTTATTTGCTTGTTAAAAGAAGAACAGACTCATACTTCTTTCTGTTTTACACATTAAACGGTACATCTGTCTATTAAGAATTTTAATTAGTTTACACACGCACATTTCTCCCTAATTCTAAAGCGACCTACTTAAGCAGTTATTCACTGCATGTACAAGAATTCTCTGTACAAAACTTTCTCGTACGTGACGATATCTGTAAACTTTATTTCACTCCCCTGCACACGGACTTATCAAATGTTACTTTCCATCTTTACATCATTTTAATGAAAACAGCGTAGAAACAATATTAAAACTAAATAAACGAAACTTTGACTAATCATCGTCTGGCTTATGCTGGTGGCTCCACCTTTCGAGTTGACCTTAGTAGCCGTCTTGCAGTATGATTGGTTTGTTGGATTTGACCGGTTTTCTGAAATCCCAAAAAGTATTTGAAACGCAACACTTGTTTATGTTTTTGTTTTTTTCTGTTATGCGCGTAATTATTAAAGGATTTTTTTTCCTCAAGGTACCAAAATGGCGACTTAAAAACAGATGTACATGCATTTACAAACACCAACCACGGAACAAAATCCTTTGACCTGTTTTTCAAACATTAATTTCGAAGCCTTTTCATCCTACTTTGTTAATAAAACACGTTGTTAGCAAATCGTGTTATTAAATATCGACTATGTCATCTATGAAATAATATATCAAATCAAATTATCCAATTATCCTCAATTCATACATGTATTTCCAATATCTTTTGTTATTGGATTTTCCAAATCTAGTAGCAGAAAAGATTGTTTTCTTATTTCCTTCATCAATGAATTTAGGAAATTTGACAGGTACTAGTAATTGGAGTTAGACTCACCTAAATCTAGGTAATATGATGCCGACTGTGTGTCACTTATCGTGACATCTCTCCGCGTTCCCTCGTCACACTGTGGGGAGGGCATTTGATATAATACTGGTCCTTTTCTGTCTGTTGGTCCAGAGCCTGTATAGTTCGTTAACACCTGATAACACATAAAGGCAACCGATGATTAGAAAAAATGGCCAAAAGAAAAGAAATTGGTTTACTTTGTATTGAATTACTTAACAGATTGTTTTATAATGTTTGTTTATTTGCCGTTAGTTTTACTATGGGGGATTTTGTATTTAAGTATATCGTATATGGCCACGGGTTCCAAACAAGAGTGCGAACTCAATGGTCTATCGAAATTTCCATCTTATATAAAAATATGAAGACTGATTTAAATATGCATATGGCGGCACGATATTTTTCATAAAAAGCCTTTCTAATTTTATTTTTTAGAAACCATCTCTAACTCTTGGTTAATTTTTTAGTGTTATCCGTTAATAGATAGATTGCTATCCCATTGTAGGATGAAATAAAGAGTAAAGCATTCTTTTTATGTGAATATAACAGACACTGGAAACTTACCCAGCACCTAAATCTGCTCTGGTTAAATGCTCTGTTTTTGTCCTCGGTAATAATAAGAGTATCATCTCCACTTGTTTTCTGTGGCACTTTTAGGTGTGCCAGGCAAGTAAACCCTAAAGAAACCAGACAAAAATTACGCTCTCTCTTCCATCAAAACAACTGCCAATTATCAAAATGTTATGCTCTGTTTGTTAGTTTTTAAAAAAATCAAACGTTTCTGGTTCATTTCAACAATGTGTTTTATCTCGATTTCATAATTTGAAGTTAAAATCAAACCTTGATCGAGTCCTTTTGGCTCGCTACAGTCTCCTTTCTTGTCCAAGAACAGCCATAGTGAAGTCTCATTGGACGTGCACGTGGTTTGGTCGTACTCCCCAATGTGCCCCGTGCATGACGCACCCCGGCCTTTGAACATGGCGTCAAAGGGGGTCTTGCCTGGCAACCCACAGGGAACGGGTACTCGTTCCACAGCAGCTAAGATGAAATACAAACGGTAGTTGTTTTGACACCATTGCTAATTGAACATACTGCCCCGTGGTGTTTACAGGATCCTTTTAGGAGGTTTTGAGGTTTTGAGGTTTTTTTATTTAGTTATTTTATTCAGGCTAGGTTCCAACAGTATGTTAGATGAATAGATTCAGGGCATGGAATCAAACATATGGTAGTGCTCGAGTCATCTTAAAATATCAAAGAGCTTTAAAACTCATTAACCAACGGACAGCGTTTTTTTTTTTTTTTTTTTTTTTTTTTTTTCAGACACAAATATGGCGCTTTTGGGTTTGTCATTCGGCATTTTTCCTGCAATGTTCTGTAAACTGTGCATGGTACTGTGATGATAAAACTTACCGACTAGATTTTTGAAAGAAGCACTTCTGATTAGTGCGTTCAGGGGAGCAGGGTCGTTGGAAAAACTGCAGATCGTTTCTAGTGGTTCGTCGGATCTGACGCTTTTTGCTGAAAGTACAAAATGCAACCTTACATGTACAGGCTATTCTTGTATTTCGCTTTGCTTTATAGTCACTATCATCTCAAATGAGTTTCTCCTAGCACAATCGGTAAATTCTCTTTTCAAGTATAACACATTTTTAAAAGACTTTTCAAAGTAATAGCATTTTAACGTAGTTATTACGTACATACGAAAAGAAAAGTAATTACTGCTTCAGTGGTGTAGTTGGTCACATTACAGTATTCTGTTCTATTCTTTCTACTCTAAACTAATCTGGTTTAAAGAGTGTTTGTACTTACAAAGTCGATACTTGAGGACATTTGGGTTAGCTCTCTTGAAGGACATACATGTGTATCGTGGACGGCTGGAAATGGACGAAAAATATGACTATAAACCCTCAACCCGTTTTTATTCAGAAGCAAATAGGTCTACCTTTATGTCACAAAATAGGACTCTCTTCGGTTACATTGAAATGTGTATGCTGTTGTTTGCAGGCCTATTACTGTTCTGTTTAACTATCCCCAAAACACTGTATGGCATAAATCTGATTTACCCCCCCCCCTTCCCCCAAATAAAAAGAAATAAAATTAAATACATAGAAGTAGAAAAAGACATATATCTTACCATCCATTGCCAAAAGTTGAAACCATCTTGTATTCTTGCCCTTCATACTTCTTGCCTATACAAGAGAACGTTCCCAGCTCAGGAGAATGGACATGTGTTTGGTTGATATTCAGGTTAAAGTTTTCAATGACTTCCTGTTGCACCCACTGACCCCGAATGTCTTCTGCTAGGTTCTGGGTAGGGGCGGGATTTGGAGCTCGGTCTGAAAAGAGTAACAATACAACGCGTCCCATACCCACTTTGTGATACCCACTTTATCGAATTTTGTGAGACAACGCAAATTCTATAAACATCCTCTTTTTGCCTGGTAAATTATGCAGTCAACTAAACAGGCCCTACAGGCATATTCTCTACAAAACTGTGTCCACGTTTCTATTTGAGAAATGGGACGTTATTTGCCTCCAACAGAATCTTATGAAGTCAGAAAAAGTGTGAAATAAAATGAAATTAGATAGAGTACATGAAAGGTGGATACTTACCGCACAGGTTACAACTCTTCTTGCAAGGATCACTGTAATTTGGGTCAGAGCACATTCCAAGAGATTTGAAATTTTGACAGTCCGTTGGATTGACGTCGAAACATAACTCGGCGGCTTTATAGAATAAACAACATTTATAACTTCATCAAAAGAGAAATAAATGTTATCTTATGTAATGGGTTTACGTCGAGATAAAAATGGACCTCTTATTTTAGTCAACTGTGTTTATGATTTCGACAGGAATCATGTAATCATCAAATTCTACCATCAAGCATCAACACATTTCGGCATACCAAAGAATTGCCAGGGTTTGTTGAAAAATATAGCCTAAATTGACATTGGATCGGCGAAACGGAAACCAAACCAGTCATTTACTACAAATTACCAAAACATCCGTGACAGACAAGTTTATCATATTCTCAAGTTATCTTACACGTCCTGGTCATCGACATTTCCAGGTGCGTTACATTGCGTGGAGGGACACCAGTGGATCCGATGGGTGCTACGGCACCGACGTATAAGTTCGCCGTGAAGGTTGCGTCGCCTATGGTCTTTGGAAAAGTCTAAGAACAGAACGTGAATATTGATATTTATATGTACATAAATGAAATTTAAAGCATTATCATAAATATTCATCGTAAGCAGGATCTTTAACAAATTAAAGATAAAGATTAGTAATTTACTGACGATAACGTCAAAATGAAAATAGGGTAATTTCAAAAGACTACTTGTTCTTCAGGTAGCAATGTTTCACTTTTATTTATTAAGTGCTGCATAAGTGAACTACGGTAATACACTTAGTGGTCATCCATTTTTATCATCATTTTCACAAGTCTACAAAGAGTAGACTTTTCCCAGACCCCCGACCCTCCCCCTTCAGACAGTACAAGATGAAAAGCTTAAAATGATGATTGATGAACTTTTGGATCATCATATTTATTATTTACAAAAGCGTACAGATGGTGGATAGAGGGCATTACCCCCCCCCCCCCCCTTTCTACCGTGTACGGTTTGAAGACTTGTGAAAATGATGGTGAAAATGACTTAAGACGAATTTGTTCCTATTATAAAAGGACACCCATTTCAGGCCTACCATGGCAAATTTTGGCGGTAACTGCCTTGGCTGGCTCATGATAAGGTACATCCAGTGTTCGTCCTCCCAACTAGCATAACAGTGTATCTTTTCCTCTGTAAAAGATAAGTAAATTTTATCTACCCTCTACCAGGGTCATCACAGGTTGATTTTTCACTAGATATTTACAGATATGTCTCTGGTTAATTGCTGGCACTTATATGCACTGTGAAATGCCTGCACATAATGGATCAGATTTAGTAGACACTATATTTACTAGATATAACTGTGGGAAGAAAAATAAAGAAACCAATATATATAATGAAATATGTATTCTATATATAGCCTACTTTACTCTTACCTTTCGTGGTGGATATAGGATTGCATTCTTCTGTAGGGAAAATAAAGTCCATCCCTTCTCCCTGAATGCATTCACTCTCCAATCTGGACGGAATGAATTGTGTCGGACACAATTTCTGTAAGAGTCAAAGATATATAGGCACCATGCATTCATTGAAAAGTTCTGTTCAACGATGCCTATGGACAAGCAAGTTCTAGAAACGGTAATGACTTCAGAGATCCACATATTGTTGTCAATTAAATAGGAATAAGTTTTTTTTTACTGCCAATGCAATGTACCTTTTGTTAAATACCAGATGTCTCAAATGATACTACTACGTACCAGTAGGCCTATATATAGAGAAATATTGTCCATGGACACGTACATATTAATGATTATAAGTGTAGTAAATGCATATGTACATGTTGTGCGCGCTTGGTGCAAGCTTGTGTGCTACACATGCACGGGTAGGTGCAAATACAATCAGAGAGTGTGATTTTACAACCACATGAAATACACCCATACGTAAGGACTCGGCTGAGAAGAACGAGATTCTCGCCAAATCTCACCTGTCTCTTAGCAATATCCGTGGTGACGAAGTCAAACCCTCCAATGAGCGGGCACTCTATCCACTGTTCCGTCAGTCTAGGCCCTGGAGAATAGGCACATGAGGTTTGAATCTTAGAGCAAGATCTGAAGCAATTCTAAGAAGCACCTTTACGACATAGTAATCATACTCTAACAGGGAGATTCAGTGATTACATAGTGTATCACAGACTTCTCATTGATATTTTACATAAATAGATTGGTACACATATCAATCTTAAGCTAGATATTCTTCAATTAGTTTTAAACTTGCCTATAAATTTTGTAAACTGAGTGCTAATCATATAGACTTTTCAAGTTCTCGCAATTGATTCCTAATTAACGTTCAAATCTAAACGGATAGCGGTCTCCAATGATTCACACCTTTATGTCCTATTAAAAAAGAAGGCAGGTATCTATTTACTTAAGTAACAATTAAACACTATTTTCCTATTTCAGACAATATACTAACCAAGCCACGGCCAGTCATAATCGGCGTCCACGGACAATGAATCATCGTCGCATTTGACTTGGTCTATCGACGACCACGCCACTCCTGAAATGTTCAATTAAAATATTATTCAGTTTAAAACGTTGGGAAAACACGAACGCTTACTCTATCAGGCTCTGTTAAATATATCTCGTTTTATTTTCTTATTCATTTTTTTTTCAATCTTTAAATATCAAAGCACCAGGGAAATTGCCAGTATGTTATATTATTACCTGTCCGGACCTGTACCACTATACCACTCCGTCTGATGAACTGCATGCATTTATATTCTTTGACTCTGAAAAAAATTTAAAAATCTAAATCCTATAAAAAATTGTGATACATCATATAAAACGACAAAAACCATTTAATTAACAACATTTTAATTCTCTAAGTTTTATGGACACGATCACAACCAAGAATCAAACAGTTTTGTCAATCATCACACAAGTAGAGTAATTTTGTTAAAAAGAATCTCTGTCACACTCAAATAAGACCTTCTCTAACACAATCACACAAACTCAGAACAAGCATGGAAATTACCCTGGGCGGTGTTTCTTCGTTTCTCTTACAATGAATTTATTATGGTGTTGGCTTTGCAGACAGACTCTCGTGTAAAGCTCCGCCGTGCTGATGCATATGCCATCCGAACAGTCTGCTTCGTTTCGCCGTAGAGAATCTATGGTGTTTTTGTTAATTCTGTGTTCCACTTGGGTGATCCACCGGGAGCCGTCCGCCTTCCACAGTCTCTGTGTTATCCAGGGCATCAGATCGCCATCCTGTGTCATGGGACTCTGGACGAATCTTGGAAATGTGCACTCACTCGGGTGATCGTGCTGAGCAGCCACTTGAAAAAAAATTGTAAANAAAAAATATGAATAATGCAAACGAGGCGAACCAAAACCAAAAATGCCCTGTGATCCTCATATTATAGCATAATGTCCACATCTGCTAGTTTAAATATTTCGTGCAGAGCAGGGCCAAATCTTAATCCCCCCCCCCCCCCCACCCCACTTAGCTGGACCCGCAGTTGTACTTCCTTTTACTTAAATACTTATATTCGGAGTTCCTTAACAAGAGGTATATTGCCCAGGATTTACTGTCAAACCTACGGTTGAAACTTTATCAAATGACATAAATAGCACATGCTCTAAATTCAACCTTATAGAGCGAGTTGATCATAAAAAAACTTGCTGCATTCGTTTAATCAGTGAAGACAGGAAACATATTGTGGTGAGCGTATTTTAGAAAGACCTGTCATTATTTTTGGTGACACCTTCCGTTCCATCTTCCTCTACTTCTTCCTCTAAAGTAAGCGGTATCGTTAACTACGTGCTGCAGATGCCGTTAAAAACAACATCACGATGCCGTGGCTTATATAGCGTTTGACCACAATCGAACGACCTATTTTATTATTTTTTTTTTTTTTTTTGCTTCGGTCAGGACTCGGACGATTATTCATCCAAGGTCAGGATGTCAAAATATCTATACCTATTTTCCCTGGGCTATTTGAACTTTTCTTAGGTCAAGCTTAAGCTTTTGCGCCACCAGAGTAAATCAAACTGGTATCAAATTTAGATCTTTTTTGCGACACCTGTGGACAAGGGCATATTTTTTTACTTACTACTTCGCCATGAACAGGAAAAACACAATAAAACAACACACATCATATTAAAAACACTTTCCAAAATGACTACAATAATCAAAAATTACAATTCAGCCCAGTTTCTCCCACATAAATGAAAAAAAACATTTCTCTATCTATACGTTAAAAATAGTAATTGTCTTTCTATTTTTTATAATAGCTTCTTTTCTGACATAACTTATAAGTATAATATCTGAACAGTTATATGATCTTCATTTCCTTTGGCTGTCGTCACAACTTCGAAGACTATCAATGAAAGTGATACATATATATTTTACTTGTGTGTTCATTGCAAAAATTCTCACTACCCCTCCC